CCAGTTGTCCATGTGTTAGAGACAATATTGTCCTGTAGCTTATGGAAGCTCTGTTCTAGCCCTCTGTGTTTCAGTTTGAGGAATTGATCTATCTTTAAGATCACTAATTTATTTTCCCATTGAGCCCATTATAGCCATACTTCTCTGTTACTGGGTTTCTTATTTCTGTTGTTTCCATTAGACTCTTTCTTATAATTTCTGCCTTTCTGCTGAAATTCTCCATTTGATCGTGTGTGTTGTTCAGTAGAGCCTTTACCATTTAATCATAATTATTTTAAATTTTGTATCTCATAGTTTCAACATCTAGGTCATCTGAGTCTGTTTCTACTGATTGCTTTGTCTCTTGACGGTGGGGTTTTTTTTCTCCCTGCCTTTTTGTGTCTCATAATTTTCTATTAAATGCCAGGCATCATGTTTAGGACAGTAAAGACTGAGGTAAATAGTCTTATCAGGAGTTGAGCTTAGTTTAGTGTTACCTAACGTACCTAGGTTGAGGTCTGGGTGATAGAGGATTTTCTCAATCATTTTCCTCACTCTCACCTTTCAGCCAGCCCTGTAGTCTTGCCTCTCAGAGGGGCATGCTTTTTTCCATGCTCTTGGCCCTCCTCCCTAGATAGGCTGCTGTTGCTTGGTGCTTGCTATTTTTTTGTTTTGTTTTGTTTTTTGTTTTCGTAGGGGTTGGGGGTGGGCTCTGTTGTCTTGACCCAGCTTCAGTCTTAGGCAGACTCTGTCTCCCTGAGTCTCAAAAGTCAGACATTCTTAGCAGTCCTGCTCCTTCCTCATTGAAAGGAGACCTTGATAATCTCAGCTCAGGATAGTTTCCTGCCTCTCCCTCAGTGAGGGGTGTTTTTATCTTTGCTTTTCCCTGGTAGCTTTAGGATGCTGTTCTACAGGGGAGAGGTCCTGGCAGGGCTTCATATCTTTCCTTGCTCACTCCCCTCTCCTAGGCCTGCACCTCCAGGAATGGTTTTCTCCCATCTACTGTTCTGCCCCCATTTGTTTGTTATGAAAGCCCAGGGGTGGTCTGTGGAGAAGAACCTGTGCATGGGTGCAAGCTCTACTTGTGCCTGTGGCACCTGGGGGTTCTGCACTCTTACCCTAGTCTACACTTGGTCTCCAGCAATTTGTTAAAACTGTAACTTACCCACTCGTATGGCACTTGGTGTCTCTTCTCTTCATGCTTTGCCATAGGTGACCCACAGCTGACGCTCACTTTCTGTTTTCCTTGGAAGTGTCTGTCTTTCCTTAGATTTCAGGCTACTGGTTGCTCTGTGACTTCAGCTCACTGATTTAAGAGAAGTTATGATTCTTTTAGATTGTCAGTCTTTTTCTTGTTAGGATGGAATTAACACTCTCCCCAGCTTTATATATCCTAGGCAGCAGCTCCTTATCCATACTTGTATCTTGATGGAAAAGTGAGATCACGGTCAATTCAGAGACCTCTCAAGAAGTCAACTCCAGATGGGTTGATTTCTTGTCACAAGGAAGATCTACAAGCTGTTTCCTTTTGTTTTTAATGAAATGTTATGGTTTGGTTCCTCTTGTGTCTGGGTGGCTGAGTATCAGCCACAGATATTTAGGCAATTCCTGCTGTGTGCAAAGTGCTGAGCTCCTGGTGGTGTATGAAAGGCAGGCAGCAGAGGAAACAGGAACTGAGGTGGGCAACACTTAACCGACTGTAAGAAACCAGAGTCCCACCCCAGGGTGGCATGAGAGGAGACACCTGCAGGCCCCAAGTGATATTTCCGAAAGTTAGAGCCATCTCTTGAGAGTCACCTTTTTTTTGTTTTGGTATTAAGATATTTATATTTGGCAAAAGTGAAATGTTCTTGAATTGATGTAGATCTATACGGGTATGTGTGTGGGTTAATCTTTGTTGTTATTTTAGTGAGCATTACTTTTTATTTTGAGATGGAGTCTTGCTCTGTTGCCCAGGCTGGAGTGCAGTGACGTGATCTCAGCTCACTGCAACCTCCACCTCCTGGGTTCAAGTGATTCTCCTGCCTCAGCCACCTGAGTAGCTGGGATCACAGGTGCCCTCCACCATCCCTGGCTAAGTTTTGTATTTTTAGTATAGATAGGGTTTCACCATGTTGACCAGGCTTGAACTCCTGACCTCAAGTGATCCGCCCGCCTTGGCATCCCAAAGTGTTGGGATTACAGGGGTAAGTCACCGTGTCTGGCCTCTTTGTGTTATTTTATTCATGTTATACTTAACTGAGAACCACCAGGCAAAACCGCTAGGACCCTTTGATGTTGAACAGACAAAACGCTGATGTGACTTTTGCATTTAAATGCTGCTTGGGTTATTCTGCCACTGTCATTACTCATGGCTCTGGTATGACTGTCTCTTCCCACTCTTGCGTGTCATTTTCTTATCTCTGCTTTCTTGCTTATTTGCCCAGCTCTCAGGGAAATGCCACAGCTCCGGAGTGCTGGCATGCAGGTGAGTGGCTCCAGAGCTGTGAGGGGCGGGGCTGCTGGCCCTTTGCTACAGTGCAGACAGTGGGGAGGTTTCATTACACAGAAAGTTTACCTCAGTGGGCTCTGCTCTTTGGGGTGTTGAGTGTTTGTGGAGGGCCTCCTCTGAGTTCACCTCTGTGCCGGGCAATCATTCCAGGGCAGCTGGGTTGAGGAAGTAACGCAAAAAGCATTAGACCCAGGATTCAGAGGCCTCTATGGGGACGTTGGAGAGGAGTTGTGCACATGGAAGCCCAGCTACAGTCAATGTCACCTGCCAGAGGCTGTCTCATGCCCAGGAAGAGCCTGCATTTTGGGTTCAGATCCCAATTCTGTTATTTGCTGGGTAACTTAGAACAAATTACTTAACTTCTTTGAGCCCAAGTGTCCATATCTGAAAAACAAGGTTAATAATGCCTATTGGGAAGGGCCATCATAAGGATGAAGTGAGGTTACATGTATTAAGTGAGGTGACATTAAATGAGGGCACACAGTGGATGGCAAGTAAACCATGGCAATTGCTGGACTGGTAGAGTGTTAAGTGCTGTGATGTTTTCTGATGAGAGTGGGCAAGGAGGCAGGGAAATGGCTCCAGACAGCCCTAGAGTTTGAGGCTGGTTAGTTTTGGACAGTCATTTTCTGACTGAGCCTTAGTTCTCTTTCTTGTCAAATGGAGACAGCCCATGAAAGTGTGGTATAGGTGGGAAAACATGGCAGCTGCTGCAACCCTCTGTTGTAAAGGCCACCTCTCCAGCTTGGAGCCCCGCAGCTGCTGTCTTTAATACTCCCTTGGAGCTGGCTCAACTTTGGCTCATCCAGGAGGGTTTCTATTGCTAAAGTCAGTGGTACTCACCCTGCCTCCCTGCAGCGTCCACTGTGCTTCCAGAGGCTGAGCTCAGCACTGTCCGTTTCTGGGCCATTCTGCAGAAACTCAGATTTTCCATTCCCTCCTTCCTAGGCAGCCAGCAGCACCAGACTCTGACCCATTCCATGACAATGCTGGCTGTGGGACAGAAGAGTTCCCTGCTCACACCCTTCCTCCAGTGGAGGAGTGTGTGTGTCTACAAGTTAGGGGCTCCTCTGGAAGGAGTGGGCACAGCACTGAACATTTCTTAAGAAAGGCCTGCTGGTAGCTTCAGCCATTTGAAGGACTGGCCTAGTCTAGATGAGGAAGTGGAGGCCCAGAGCTGGTCAGTGAGTGTCTGAGTCACCATTCCTCACCACTGCACTCTGCTGTGTCTCCTGACAGAACTGCCTTAGTCTGGGGGCCACTGTGGTAGGCTGAAGTCTATCCTGGCAAGGCTGGTGGACTTCTGAAACTTCCTTTTGGGATGGGCTTCTGGGTAAGCTTTGAGATCTGAAGCACGTTGATTCCTAGAGGACTGGAAGAGACTCAGCCCTGATGGCCGAAGTTGTGGAAATGGCCACGGAAGTGGTCGACATGCTGATGATAGGCGTGTGGACACGGTGCTGCTCATATTCTCAAGAACATCCCTCTGGCTCATGTCTTACATTCAGGTTCTCCTGTAGCCATCATGAGGGCCAGCATTTTTCCAAGTTCAAATCAGCATGCCCTTGAAAGTTTGTGATCTATGAGAATAGAATACTTACCTAATAAAGGAAAACATGCAGATAGGGTCCACATGCTGAACCACATTCCCGTGGGAACAAGTCCACAGAGGAACTGCAGGCTCTAAGACCAGCCCTGCCCTTGGACACCCATGGCTCCAGCATCCCGCCCACTGAACATGTGCACAGCACTTCCTCGGTCCACAGAAGCCTTTGTGCATAGGACAAGGAGCTGACTTTTCTGAATTTGGGGGCTGAAGGGCCTTAGGCAGAAGCACTAAGCCCCTCACCTCCTGGAGTCCTATCTGAAGCAGCCCAGGGGTGCCTCTCCTGTGGATTCAGATTCCTGCCAGCCATGTGCCAGCCTGGGACATGCACACAGAAATCTTGGTTTTTCCAGGGGATCTGGGCCAGGATGGGATGGAACGCCCCTCTCCCTGCCACACACACACTGCCACCAGGTTCTGGGCCACAGCTCCTCGGGCCTGGGAAAGGCATTTGTGAAGCCTGACACATCCCCATATTGGGGGGTGGGGAATTAGAGTTCAACTGACCAGGAAGAGGAGGAACTTCAGGCCCAGGCTGGGCTTCAGCATCTCTGGACTCACCTGGATGCCTGCTGGTGGGTGCCAGCTGCTTGAAGAGATGGGAGGCAGCCAGCCTCCCTGTGGGGCTCCAAGAGCAGACTGAGGCCACTCACTGACCTACCTGCCCTCCTCCCCAGGCCCCTTTCTGCCTGAACCACGAGGCGTTCTGATTCCACTCCTCACTTAAGGCCTCTGCCTGGAAAGGTGTGCATGTGGACCCAGATGTGGGAACGCCGCCACCCTGCTGTTTCTCACTGACACTTGCAGCTTACCTTCTCAAGTTTGCTGGTGGTTTTCCCTTTCATCTTTTGGAGGGGCTATTCCTCTCACAGTATTTCTTCAAGCACTGTATAGACTGAGGAACTTTTTTCTTTCTGTCTTTAGCCAGAAGTGGACTTCCCTGGCCCCCCAGGCAGAGGCAGGAGTGTGGAGTCTGTGCAGAGCCAGCCCCAGGAGCCCGTGAGCGTGCCCCAGACGCTGACCAGCACGCTGGAGCACATTGTGGGCCAGCTGGATGTCCTCACTCAGGTAAGCCACACTGTGGGTTCACCCGTCATCTGCACTTGGTCCCGCATTTGGACCCTTTGAAGTTGGACAACAGGTGCTGGATTTTTAAAAACATAATTATAATGGACCTCTTTTCCAGTCCAGATTAATGACATTGCAGAGCCTTCCCTGGGATCCTGGCTCTTGGAGCCATTCAAGCCCTGGCCAGGCCACTAGACTCCAAAATCCCCAATGCTGGGTACTACTGGAATGTGCTCACCTAGAGCTGGCCTGGGCCACTGAAGAGCTTTGAAAGAAACACTGTGTTTGTTTATTCCTCCCACTCTTTGCTGGATAGGCACTGCAGGGGCATGCCAGGGAACTGAGTAGTGAGTCAGGGCTTCTGAGAGCCTAGGCTCTGAGTTTGAGCCTGGCCCTTATCCTCTGAGCAACCTTGGGGAAATCCCTTCAGTTCTCTAAGCCCTGGTATGTTTATCTGTAAAGTGCTGGTGGTTGTGGGCTCTGCCTGCCACATTCATGATGAGAATTAAGGGAGATGAATCTGGGAAATGTTTGACCCATGCCTGGCCCTAGGTAACTGCTCAATGAATGTTAGTTGTGGCCCTGACCACCCTCATCACTGAGATGGATATGGGCTCCGCCCTTGGGAGCGTAGGTTGGCAACCATAACACAGGCTCGTAGTGTAGCAGTTTCATTAAGAGCAAAATCCCCTGACAAGAGGTGGTGGCCAGCACTAGGGCATGCTTGGCAGGGCCATCCCACCCGAGGGAGGAAGAGAGGTCCTGGCTGCCTATGGCTCTGAAGAGGCCATGGGCATGTCCAGGGAATGAGTGAAGCTCCAGGTGGCTGGCATGTGGATATGTGGTGATGGGGTGGGGGGCAAGGCGGGATTTAGAGGTTCCCCAATTCCTCATCTGCTTGGCTCCTGAGGCCAGGCTGGGACTCTGCAGATCCTCCTCTGCCATGCCATCACATGGGTAGAGCGAGGCTGCAGGAGGGACACATGTGGCCCATGAGGAAAACAGAAAGGTGTTAAAGCCAGGGGGCAGGGGGTGGGGAAGCAAGGAAGAGTGGTCTCCAGTCCAGCTCACATGAAGGATGCAAGGGACCCTTGATGTCACTAACGGAAATGGAGCTGAGATGGCATGGTATCCTTTCCCCAGCTTGGGATCGTGGGCTAAGTGAGAAAAGCTCTTCCAGGGTGTGTCATCAGAGCCCAGCTGGGGCATACCTTGGGCCCACTGAAGAAAGCACTCTTGAAGGGAAAGGCCAAGTGTCATGACTGGGGGCTGTGGGACTCCAGGGCACAGTGTACAGACCTTGCTGAGAGGCTGCTAAGCCCTGAGAAGAAGGCATGTGCTGAGAGTGATGTGAGCAGCATGCAAAGACTTAAAAACCACCCCACTTCAAACCCGTCAGCAACTGCCTCATGTTTTTCACAGCCTCGCCAAGTGAGAGATTAGGGGAGGTGGAATCAATTAGAACTTTATAGGATAAAATTGGAAATTAAGTCTGAGAAGGTGGTTAAAAATAGCTTCATTGGATCCAGAGGAGTATAACACTAAAAACATTTCCTGTCACTGTGTTTTAGGGGTGCACATGGAAGGTTTTGTTATGTGTTCGCAGTTAGGAGTATGATAGTAACTTTTAAAAAACTTGCATCGCAGAGAATAAGTGAAGGCTGGCCTGTGGTCTGTGGCCTTCGGCCCATGGCTGGGTGTCTGGGTGTCTCAATGCCTCTGTGGCACCCTGGTCCTACCTCACACTATTCAGCCCCTTTGCAAATCCAACTGGCAGGCCACCCCCGACCAGATGCCAACAATATCAGCCAGTCACCTGCTTTGCAAAACTGACAGTGTCTGTGTGTTTCTGGATGCCATAAAGCGAGGCATGTTCTTGACGGACTCAATGCATCCCGAGGAAACTTGAGTTCTGCAGATGAAGCACCAGTTGAGGCCTTAAAGTTCAACCCATTTTCAGAACTGTGCATAGCACCTTTGTGCTAATCCTGGCAAGTTCTCCTCGGGCTTGGCTGTTGGTTGTCTTCTAGGCCCACCTTTCTCTCCTGGAGTTGAGATTTTCTCTAGCTGAGGTGTTTCAGCCACAACCAGAGCTATCTCCACCAGGGGGTTGAAAGTTTCCCTGCACCTTTCTCTTGGCATTGGCCCAGCAGAGGCAGGCCCACAGCAGGCCCCGCTCTGGATGGTCCAGACTGACCCAGCCCTCCCCTGAAGCTTAATGCCAGACGGCCACCACCATCCATCTTCCCAAGTGGCTTGTTCAGCTGGCCTTCCTTCTTGATCTGTGGATATTGGTCTCAGGTGCCACCCCATCAGCAAGCACTCCTCGCCATCCACCAAGTCCTGAAGAGCCTTTTTGTTCTGGAAGGGTGGGATGCCCAGCCACCCCAGCACTGATTCCTACTAAAAAGTCATCCATGTGAATTATGCTGTTCTCCTCCGTCGCCCCCACTACCCCTTCCCTCCCCCACAGGGAAGTCTACTTCAAAGTGGCCTTTGAGAGGGAAGCTGCCTTCCAGGTCCTTCAGGCCTTCATCCTGCAGAACATCCTTCCAGGCGAGAGCCATGGGGCTGCAGCGGGCAGTGGCCAGGGATGTTTTCTGAGTGAGTCACAGAGTCTCCAGCTCCTGGGTAGGATACCCTATTTCAGAGGCTCACAGTCTTCAAAGCCTGCCTTTCTGCTCAACAGGCTGGTATGGCCCCATGTGGCAAGGTCACCTCTGTGGGTATTTGTGGTCTGTCTCTCACCAGTCTGAGGGTCAGGGACCCAATCTCAGTCCTCCCCAGGGTGACGCCTTCCGCAGCTCCTCTGTGTGAAGGAAAAGCCTGGAAGCCAGGAAGCTGAGTGAGCCAGTGGAGAGGAGTGGCTTTAGCTTTGTCTGGCTTCCCCACTGCCTAGCTCAGCAACCTCAGGCAAGTCACTTCGCGTCTGTGTGCCTTACTTTCCAAATCTGGAACACAGAGCTGATCATAGCACCCACTTCATAGGCCTCTTGGGAAGCTCCTTGAACAGTACCTGACAACACCGTGCACTGCTGATGTGTTGGGTGCCGCTCCTGTTGCTGCCATTGTCGTTATCCAAGGCTTGGAGGCCAGGGGGATCTGCATGACAGCACCAGAAATAGCTCTCCCAATTCTCCACTGCCTCATGAAGCTAGACCCTTCCCTACCCGGGAAGCCATTCCTTGGCCCTCAGAGCAGAGGTAGCAGGTTCCTTCCATGCACACACATTCACTGAGCCCACTCTGTGTGGGGGGCCTTGTGTGAGACCCGGTCCCACCTTCAGGAAGAACTCAGGACTGAATCTGCCGAGGTCGGAGCCAGGCGTCCACAGAGGAGCCGGCAACTGGAATCACTGGAAACAAGTGGGAGTCCAGACACCGGGTCAAGGCCATGGGTCCTCTGGTGTGGGGTAACAGAAGCAGCAGCCCAGGAGTTCATCCTCACCTGATGGGACACTAGGCAAAGTTGAGGCCTGACCCATGCTGAGGGTCTGGGGTAGAGTGGAGATAGGGACACAGAGAAGTTGAGACATGAGCAAGGACAGTGCTATCATGGCCCCGTCCCAGGGGCGATGAGACAAACAGCACTTTGGCTGGCCCCTGCAAGGCTCCTGGTCTCCGGAGCAAGCCAGCAAGTGGGGCAGCTTCCCCCAGCCTTCCCAGGCCAAGAGGCCTTGCAGATGAAGAGGAAACCAAAGTGCCCTTGGGACTTGTACAGCATCAGAAACCCTTTAACTCCAGAAATGGGGTTGGTGTTTTACTTTTTTATGAATGCCTTTTTTATAAAATCCATACATTATTTTTCAAAAGTGTATTTATATGGGGAAAATAGACTTTGGGGTGACCTTGCGAGCCGAGCAGGTGCAGTCTTCAGGCCTTCCCACATAGTTGTTTTAGATGGAAAGTCCTCAGAGTGTGGGGATCACATACTCATCATAATTGTCATCCTCCTGATTTTTATCGGAGGCCTGCTACTTTCCAAGGACTTCCCTGTGTGGCCCTCACTTTATCCTCCCACCTGGCACATGACAGCAGCATCATGCCAGGTGCAGATAACGTGTTAATAATGGCTTGTTGTGCCTGGACCAGCCTCGGGGTCCAGCCAGCCTGGGGCTTCCCCAGGGGGCCAGGTGATCCTGATCTCAACCACTGTGGGTCAGAGCTTCCCCAGCTTCCCTTGCCAAACAGTTTTGGTGGAGTTAGGCATGGCTTCATCAAGAAATTCTGCAAACCAAACTTGACCTCCCTGAAAGGTAAGGCCAGAAGCTCTTGCCCTGGGCTCTGTGATCAGAGAGCCCAGCAGGCCGAGCGCCTTAGGTCAGCAGCCAAAGAGCACACACACCCTTGCCCTGGCCTGCCCCTGTGTGGGGATGATCCCTCCTTGCCCCAGGAAACACTGAGCTTGCTGTTTGGGGTGCCATTGGTTTCTTCACTAAGCTTCCTCGGGGCCCTGATCCCAGCTGATGCCATGCTTTGAGCAGCTGGGGTTTGTTCAGCTTTACCGTCCCCACCAGCTGTGGGGAGCAACTGTTCCTCCTTGGGTTTCAGGGCTACTCTGTTCACCCAGTGAGCCACCTGCCCATCAGCCTGGGCACACCTCCACCATTCATCACCTGGGTGACCTTGGGCAGGTGACGTCAATCCCAGAGCCTCAGTCTTCTCCCTTGTAAAATGGGGAGAGACATCTCATTGGGTCCTCTGAGCTCTGCTGTGCGGTTCTCGGTTAACTGCGTGTGCTAGACTGGTGCCAGCTGTTCTGTGAAGCACAGCAGTGAGTCGATGTTCTCCTGGGAGCAATATGGGAAAGCACCAGGGCAGGCTTGTGGCACAGGAATGACAGGAGTGGACATTCCACAGTCCCCATGTCGCTGGACTCAAGTCCCAGGAATGCTTTTGAGCTGCCAGTGAGACTCTAGTGTCTGGCTAGGCAGGAGGATAAGAGAGGGGAGAAAGAAGAAGTCATTCCCCAACCCAGGAAGGAGGAGGGCACAGGAGGTG